GCTCATAACTATCTTCATATACTCTCCAATTTGGTTAACAATCTCAATCGAATCAAAAAGACTACTTAAGGAATATCATCGTGTGTAGTACAACGTGCACCAGCAAAGTAGGAAGTAGGAAGCCGGTGAAGCGAGAAGTGAAGCTTCGATTTGGCAATGGAGCAAGAGTTGCTTGACTTGTTGTTGGAAGCTACAATTTACGACTCTATTTAGGACTCATTTTGACCCTTAATAATTGTTATTGTGTTTATAATATTACGAAAAACATTATTTCAGTACTTGTTTTTGTTTTGGATTCCAAAGGTTGTTGTTTTGACATACGAGAAAAAATTTGTTTTGTTTCATACAATAATATGCTACTGCAAAATAATCAATGGTTTGTATGTTCTAGAAAATTCTATACAAATAAAAACAAATGATTTGAATTCTACCTACCTATGGCATTGTAGGATGATTCATTAACCAAAAGCGCATCAAAAAATTATAAAAGGGTGGAATCCTTTCATCATTCAATTATGAATCTTTTGTTGTTTATGAGTCATACTTATTGGGAAACGTGACCAAATTGCTCTTTGGTGGAAAGGTGAAAGGGTCCATGATCTTTTGGCACTCATTCGTACAGATGTGAGTTTAAATGCTCAGTTACCTCATTACTCATACTATTTAAGTCGATGTGGCTATCTCTACTTGATGAAGCAAAAATAGTCCTTTGAAAAGTTCGAAGAATTCCAAAAATTAAGTACAAAACCAACTTGGTTAGACAATTAATGTATTTCAATCCAATTGTGTTGGTGAATATTTGAGCCAAGAATTCGATGATGATCGAAGGGTTTGTGTAATCCTTTCATAATTAACTCTACCATAACACCACAGTTGGAAGGAGAAATTGAACCTTGTTAGATATGGGTCAATCTATTATGAGTCATTGAGTCTTGCTGATCTTCCTATATCATTCTGGGGATATTCCCTTGAAACAGCCGCACACAAACTAAACAGGAGCCCGTCAAAGGCTTTAGTAAGTGAAATAATCTAAAACTTATCAGGCCCTATCAACAAGTTATAGGAGCTTATTGATTGCTTTGATGATAGCATCAGCAAAGATGAGGTCTTCTATGATTTCTAAGTGAGGTAGGATATATAACGGAGTAAAATGATAAGTTGGGACCATTGTTCTCGGCCCCTTAATCTTATGGATTTCCTGATGAGTCGGTGACCTGGGATGAAACCATCACAATACAATGCTTACTAATAAAGTACGGAGTTCTTGCCAAACTTGACAAGAAATTGAGCTTTGAAATTAAATGTTTTTGTTTGCTCCACCTGTTGATGCTTGCTTGAAGTATAGCATAGATATGCCCCTAAAGGCCCTATCATTAATGAATAATAATGAACTGGCACCAATGAGTTTCTACTCTCTATCAATAATATACGGACATAATTTAGATTTTAGAAAAGGTGGACTTGCATGATTATAGGTCAAATGCCTCTTTGAGAAAGTTTAGTTGTTTAACGCAGAAGTGAACCTCAATGTAAAATCATTGAGAGGTGGAAAATGCCCATTTGAAATTGGTAGAGGAAGTAGTGGGAAAATTAGACAATTGCTGATAGTTTTACTGATTTCATACAGACTTCACTTTGGCCTCTTTAGAGAAGAATGTCAATGAAAGATCCATTTACTTCATCACACATACTAAGAAAGACTTGCGATGGCTTCAATGAGTTTTTATTTAAAATGTTCTCAAGGCACTGTTGGTTCTCCATGTTGCTGCAATTTATCAGCATTCTGTACTGCACGTGTCGATTATAGTGAAAATAACATATAAGCTTATGACTCTTGTAAACAAGTACCTATTATCTATTGAATTTATTTTAAATACGGTTATTCTTCAAAACTTATTAACCATGTGTCAATTTTTTTTATCAGCTTTTAAATAATTGTAGCTAAGTTGTGTTGCACGTCTTGATTATAGTGAAAATTACATATAAGCTTATGACTCCTGTAAACAAGTACCTAACATCTATTGAATTTATTTAAAAACAGTTATTCCTAAAAACTAATTAATCATATGTGTCAATATTGTTATTTCCCACATAACCTATACTTTGATATATATATATATATATATATATATATATATATATATATATATATATATATATATATATATATATATATATATATATATATATATATATATATAATATTGTTTATGGAGACCCCTTGATGGAAGACGCCTCTCTATGATTGTCAACTTTTTGTTGCAGGCAGAACAGCGCGAGTCTGTATCAATTATCTTCATTTCACCAGTTGTGGAAATTCAACTTCTTGAAAAGCTATTTGAAACTCATGACTACTTTTCTTTCAGCCGGGAAAAGGTGGGTAGATAAAAACTTTTGCGTTAACGGTTAGTGTTTTTGTGGCTAAATATTTGTTTGCCAAGAATAGACAATTTCCTGCAACATTATATATTTATTCTTTGCTTTTTTAAAAAAAATAAACATTATTTTATTTATATATTTTTTGCAAAATTGCTCTTATACGTCAGTTATATATCTTGCAGAATTGTTGGCTTTACCTGTCATTCTGGTTACTGATTTTATACGTTAGTTTATGAAGTGTCTTCATTAGAAGTAGCAATTAGCCAAGTATGTAATGCTTATAAAACTTGAGGGGTTGCCTGGCTGGCTTGCACTCGAACTTCATTCTACATTTTTACCTCATGTACCTGTATCAAATCCCCGCCATACTAACATATATATGCACACTTAAGCTTCATTTTGGACCACATACATTGAAATTTTCATATAGAAGTCGAGTCTGACACAGTACCCCTGCCTTATATGATGAGTTCCAAGTACTGTTTCAGAAGGGAGGGGGGTTTTTAGGGGGGAAAAACACCAAGTATTTTAGGACAAAAAATGTTTCCTTTTGTAGGTTTGAATTCTGGACTTGAGACCTACAATTATATAATACCGAATTTCCAGTTCTGTCTTCTTCTATTTCTGCTGCTTCTCTTCTCTTCTACCAGAACTTGCTACTTGTCTTCTCACAACTGCCATTTACATGGTTTCCTCATCCAATATCAGTCCAATTTGATAACCCCATCCTCCTTGAAAAATATTTGATATTTAATAATTCTACCAATGATGGAGAACAGCGAAGCCTGAAGAGGATCAATAATTTAGGTAATGTGATCGCTGACAGTGAATTGAATTGGGTATGAGGTGGACTTGATGGCGTTGAAGGTGACAATAATGAGGCCTATATCAATACCTGTGTTTTATTATGTTGTAACATCTAAAGTAACAATGTGTAATCGATCTTGTTGTGTGATTTTAGAAGCCTTGTTACATGACAACCTTTCATGGACCACCAAGATGAAATTCCTTACAAGATGGCCTTTACATGTCGGAATGGCATCAATTCAAATTATTGTGATAGAACACAACTTCAGTTAGACTTGGGCAGTTTGATTTTTACAAAAAAAATTTCTTTTTCTTTTTCTTTTTTGCATGATTTTTTAAATTTGTTTCTTATGTTCATAACTTGCAAACAGGTGAGATTCTTAGAAGAGGAGAAAATTCCTGTAGTTAGCAGTTCAACAGTAGAACAGAAGAACAAAGTACTGATGAAGTCACCTTGGGAGGTACACCAATCATCAATCGGATTTGGTGGGACAATAAGTGCACTAGCATCCAATAATATTTTGGAAGATCTAATCAAATCAGGGGTAGAGTATGTTGAGGTAAATTATTATGTCCAGCTTTTGTATTCATATGAGCAATATGGTTGTATATGATCATGTGAACCTTCTGTTTATTCATTATTTTGGTCGGCGTTCCTATAGGTGTGCAGCATCAGCCGAAGCCATTTGTGTGGAAATCCTATTTTTCTGGGCTTTGTGCATTCAGAAGAAGCAGATATTGGACTTGTGACTTTTGATGATAAGAGAGAGGTTCAGGATAACTTCCACGTGATACTGCCTGTGAAATCTATGCAGAAGTTGGTGAAACAGATGGAGAAACTCCCCTTGGATGCCATTTTGAAGTCCTATTCACATGTTGAGTTGATTAACAAGGAATGGGTAGATGTTATACCATCCACACCCAACTCTTATGAGTTCCACTGTTCACTTCAGAGCTTACTGGATGCGTGTTCACTTGACAGGGTTTGTGTTATGGAGGTTACCAAGTAACTTGCTATATTGCTTTTCAATTTTGTAGATTAGGTTTTGTAAGTTTACAGTAGCTGTAGACTAGTCTTCGTAAAATTTACAGCAGATGTGGTTCCAATTTGATGTATAAATTAACAAATACGTATGCTTGATAATCATATATTCTTGTGCAAAAGCCTATTCTTAGACCATGTTTAAGTCAAGATTGGCAAGGCATGCCAATTCTGAGCAGGGAGCTTCTTTAGCCAAATAGCCGTTTACTCCTTCCCAAAAAGAGTATATATATTTTGGTCTAGACCATCAAGATATATAATCACTTGAAAACTATTTTGTGAACATAGTTGAGTGAGTCTGAGCGCATAGCACCTATGGGCGAGTTATGTAAATAGGAGGGTAAGGAAGTAATTTCCGTTGATTCAATTTTTGCTTCTAGAAAAAGCTGGCTCTTTAGTGGCACATTATAATGTACTATTATGCATGTATAATGTGCCATTAAAATATAATTTGTTTGAATAGTATGTTTTGTGGACTATTACGAGTATAGTGGTACTTTTTACCATCATATAAGTTTCAACTTTTGGAAAAAGCTGACTCTCTAATTGTACATTGTAATGCATCATTATGCATATATAATGTGCCACTAAGTATAAGTTATCTGAACAGTACTTTTTAATTGCAAAATTATCATTCTACATGCGCTGAAATCAATAGGCGTTATGCGCCAAGACTTAACCCACATAGTTTGGTAGTTTCACCTAAAATGGTCTGAGTAGGTCTAATAATGTAAAGATCAATTCATGGAAATATGGAATTATTGATCTTGTCACGTTAGTAAAGCTAGTATTCAACTATTCATTATGAAGCATGCTTATATTTTTACAAAATTTCATTACAACTAATATTTTTATATAAAATTGCAATCGGGTAGTTTCTGGTTTTTGAAAGGGGTTGCGTGTATGGCAACCTTGGAGAACAATGGAATTGGAATCATGTTGATGAAGGAGGATTGCACCAGTAGTGGTTGTGCTGCTTTGACTACAAGAAACCGAAGAGAACACATATTAGGAAGCCCTCCTCACAAGAGGAAACCTAATTTTCTTTAAAAATATGGTGGAGCTGTGGATGTTACAATAATCTATACATATGTGAAGTCACTCAAGGACCAATGCTAGCTACCAATCAGTTCTACACTTGTTTTTATGAAAATGTCTTGTATGTCCTTTTCTTCGTATTTTGCGAGCAGAATTCAAATGCCTTGGATAATATGAGCCAATTTTCATGATGATTGCCATATTTCTTTCAACGGTCTTGAGGAGTAGGAGGGTTTCCCATGGCCAGACATTCATCAAGTACCAGTCCCATGGGCCATGGCCAATGTAGATGAGCTTATGTTATCATGCGTGCAATGTAACCAAAATTGCCAATCGTACAGAAAACTTCCAATTCCAAGAAGCAATACATTCAACTTGTTTTGCTAGCTGCTGGATTTCTGCCAAACTGGATAATCATTGCCTTGCCCTTGAAGACATAGCCATTTACTAGATTCTGCACACATCATAACGGGAATTAATACATAGTCTATGCTTAAATAAAGTTAAAATATTAATTGCTGGTAAAATATAATGAGAGAAGAAAACCAATAAAAAAAAAATAATAATAGAAAGGAAGAGGTGTTTTCAAAGATGAAAACATGACCACTAGTTCGACCAGTAATCACCAAATTGCGGCGTACTAGTCATTTGAGAGGAATGTAGGCACTGTGACAAGCAATGTAGAGTAGACTTTCTGGGTCCAACAAAATACATTATGCCAAGGAATCAAAATAAACTTATAATTTGGGTAACTCAGAAATTGGGAAACAGGAAATTCAAACAAACATGACACGTCACACATAATTCAGGCATAAATTTCAAAAATGACAGGTGAGATGAGTTCAGGTTTAGTATAGTGATATTACAGGTCTTATACCCCTTGAGTACGAATAAAGTAACATTGCTCCACTCAAGATGCAAAATGGTATTAAACCAGTATAACCAGAAGTGTGAATAATTCCATTGTAAGCTTGCAGGTTCAAATCAATATAAGAAACTGAAAGATAAAAGTTCCATTAACAAGCCTGATTTCTTGACCAATTTTACTCTATAAAACTTGGCTTCCTATGTTCGGATAAAATGTGGAGGATCACATAAATCTACTTATTCAAATTTCAACCAAAAATGTCATGTGGGAAAAAAAAATGATGCACAACAAGGAGAACTTTAGGGGTATATAAGATGATTAATTTACCAGAGCACGGTGTGCTAACTCAACTGATGGAAACGTCACAAATGCTTGCCCCCTCATTCTTCCTTCCTGAAAGACACAGTTTATATATTCCTTGGATTAATAAAAACAATAAAAAATATTCAGGGAGTTACATTCCAAAAAAAAGTTGCATTACTCCAAACAGATATGAAACAGAAAAACTAATGCCCAAAGCACAACACCACATCGATACTAGGTTCCAGTAATGTCAAAGCTGGCCTCCAAATATATCAATATCAAAAACCATCTCTCCACAGTGGTTCCATTCCTATCTTCCCTCACCCTCCTTTCCCTTCAAAAATCTATCTCATCCTGACACATGCTTGTCTACAAATCAGTATAGTTTATAGTATTGCCTATTTGAACTTTTGAAGTCAACTGGCTCAGCAAAGCACTAGAATCATATCATAATATCATATTAATGATGTTATATGAACAAAAACTAGAACAAGGCAAGAACCTCATGATAAGTTCATTTGGATTACTTTGTACATAAAAGTTGCAGTACTGTAGACACCTTCAATAAAAGATTACTTTCCTTGGGTCCTTAACAGTTTCCCTTAGATTTCTGGACTAGATAATTGCCTATTTGCCTTTATGCTGAAATAAATAAATAAATAAATAAAATAAATCATAATCTCACCTTTAAAAAGGCAGACTAATTGTTGGTTAAATTGCCATGGACTAATTGTTGGTAAAATTGCCATGATGTAACAGATTATATGACATACAGTACATTTAGCTCAAATATTGGTCTGCTCAAAGATTGATGTCTCTGATAACTTGTTTTAATTTTGTGAATATTGATATGCTAAAAAACTAGTGCGACAGAAAAATAAGATAAAGTTAAATACAGGCAAATTTTGTGTTACAGTATGATTTGACCACAATCTACATCAGTAATATGCATTTCTGCAGGCCCCGGAAAAGGAAGCCAGAAGAAACTTAAAAGACAATATGAGCAGTAGAGTTGTAAAATTCTCATCCTTGTAAAGCATAACAATTAAGGGATTGCCAAAATTAAAGCCAGCCAAAAAGAACTTCTCAGCCTATTCAGAGCTAAGAAACAAGAATTTTACAATTTCAAGTAAGTTAACAGGTTCTATAACTAGATCTTGAAAACTAATACATATCCTAGAGAAGTAAAATGGCAGTCATTATCAGACATTCAGTAGCTTCTTTTCAGAATTTTCCCAAATAAACCACCAATATTCAAGAGTTGCATTGGAAAGGAGTGATAAACTGATACAGGATTAAAAGGCTAGAAAAGTAACAACTGACCTGCATTAATTTCACACTAAGACCAGCTTTAGCAGCATCAATGCTCCCAAACAATGACCCTGCATTAATATACAGAAATTGAAGGCACAAGGAATTAGGAAATAGATAATAGATAATATAGGAAGTCCTAAATATCGAAAATGATAAAAGTAACTCACTATTCAATACGTTTGTTCAATTGGCAAGGAAAGCATATTAAAATATGAAAATATAATATGGGAAATATTCCACCTATTATTAACGTTGTTGTTCTAACTCACCAAAAATGAAATAAAAATCATCCAGAACCACATCTTTTGCCAAGTTCTTTATGTACAGCACTGTGGCAGGATTTCCAGCAGCATAGTTCTAGCAATGCAGAAACAATGATTTTAGCATAATAAAATATTTACATTTACTAAAATAAAACATAAAGATGAGGAAATCAATATAGCTAACCAATACGTAAATCAAAAGAATGGATGAAAATTCATCTTGTCGAACATTTGTGGGCGATTGCATAATTGTTTAATGACATGCTTACAGAACAGAAAGCATATTTTATCAGGTTCAAAGAAGTGACATGCAGACTGTGGAACAATGTCAGCCTACAAGATTAATTAAAAATTTGATAACCCACATCCACTTATCGAATCAAGTTCTTCTGATTAAGCTCATCAATTGAGCAGTCTGAGATAGTTAAGAGGAAACCAAGTTTCATACACACATGATTTCATGTACATTAACTTCATGCAAAGTGCAATTGATCAACATATAACGCTATGCATCAAACATGAAAATTAAATCAAGTAGATTCAATTAAAAATTGTTATGGACTTTTAGCAAAATTTTCAGCTGCCCATATGAGAAAATTATCTACGGGGTACTAACCAAGATTTAAGGACCCATAGAACTCATTTTTCCAACACCAAATTATTGGTGATACACATGACCAGTATCGGTATCTTGTAAGCCCCTTCATTAAATATTTCAATATCCGCAATTTCAATAAAGCATTGCCACACACACACACACACACAATGGTATTGACAATTGTACAAACAATTGTTGTAAAGTTATTCGTGAAATCACAAGACTAAATTATCCAAACTTGATATAAAAAATGAATTTAAAAAAAGAAAAAGAGATTCTAACTCACTTCATTTTTTTTTTTACTCGTAACACTTTGAGTCATGTTTTATTCATATACTCTACTTAAACTAATATTAATGATATATAATTAACAAAAATTAAGTCACGTGGGATCTTGTTAGATTTCCATACATTTATGCTTTCATAATATCAAAATTTTACTTACTGATAATTAAAGATATTAGTGATTGAATGCATTGGTAAGCGTGAAATGAGGAGTGTTGCAACTTAAAAGAAACAAAGGACACGTTTACTATTGCCGTAGTTTATAGTTTCATACACATCAGAGCACCCCAAAGTATATACCTTGAACATTGGGAGAGATAGTATCTCCTCAGGGGGTAATTTCTGGCTTTCTATTTGGTCAATGGTTGCAAATGGCATATCTGTAGACTCCAGCTTTTCAGACTCTTTGACTGTATTATCAGTAAGAACCTCATGCTGGACCTTTTTCGGGACTATTTTGATCTGCATCCACATACACATGAAAACTTATACAAAATTCAGATTAAGGAACATATATCTTCACTGTTTTTTTGTTTTTTTATTTTTTTTTTATTTTTTGACAGGGATATCAAAACAATTGAATTGACCTGTAATACAGAGTTTTTCTTCTTTATCATTGGAATTTCCTTCGGAATCAGAGTGGCGGGTTTAAGTCCAACAGCTTCATGAGATACATCTTTGTCTATGCCAGGGCCAACAATAACTACACGCTTGATCCTTTTTTTTGGAGCTTCTGCATCATTATCAGCCTCCTAAAGGAAAAAAAAAAAAAAAAAGAAAGAAATAAAGTATATACTTACATTCTCTAAAAGATTAGTTCTAGATTTGATTTAATTACCCAATCTCAATCAGTTTATTATAGAAAAGTAAAAGTATGATAGATAGCCCCTACTTAGCTATCTCAAGAACAATAGCTTAACTATTACCAGTCATTTCAAGCCAAGTTAACCATTTCCCCAGCCAATCCTACTTAATCTCCAAAATCATAAAATTCGCCTTAACTCATGAGCTTATACTTCAATCAATCAATCATTCACAAGAAAAGAAAGCCACTGTCTGTATGTCTCCCTGAAACTTAAGTAACTTTTCTTTGTCAACAAACTGTCAAACTACGTAACATGGAAAATAGTCAAATACCACCTCTGTTGTGAATATATAAGATAAAGAAAAGAAATTGCTCCACTTAAGAAGTAAGAATCTTCTTTCACAATAATTCCTATACCTGCTCCTAACAATAAGAATTTTGGGGCATAACTAGAGTATTCAACTTTGGTCAATATGACTTTCTTCGCCGAGCTCGCCATTTCATTGCCTCCTAACCCTTAAATCTTTGATCATCAACGTAACAAAGAAAATAGAATCACTAGCATGCACTCACCCCTCCCTAGGAACCTTAGCCCAGAAGACCTTATGATTGATGCAACAATGAATTTTCTAGTGCAAATTTGGCATTCTACAAAACCCAGTTTAAATTCTTAATCATGCAGCGGCTAGCAGTATCTACCAATATGATCAAGGGCACTTTATTTAGCAAAACACACGTAAATAAATCAGATGATTACCTCATCCGAAGTTTCCATTTCTGACTCATCACTAGACAAATTTCCTTGATGAGGTTTTTCAGTTACTGAGGGCAACGGTGGTGGAGGTGGAGCTGGTGTAGATGGTAAAGGGGGAGTGGGTAGTGCCATACGGAATGGGGCTGGAATGTTCATTTTGTTCATCAAGTGCAACACCTACAAGAAAGGAGTGAGGTAAAAAATGATTATCAACAGTTAAAATATTGAAGAAATAGTCAAATAGGCAGAATATGAACGAGTACCTGGGTATAAAAGGGAGGAACAGCAATAAGAGCATTAAGAATATTGGTTAGTATATTTCCATCTGGAGGAGGATAAGCATACCTATAACAGAACAGTGCAAAATATCAAAACATCAGTGTAAATGAATCACATTACTACTCTCCCAAGTTTCATCTCTAAGGCCTAAAAGGGAAAATAGAATAAGGGCACACAGATTTTTAGCCCATACTTCATCACATTAGTACTCTCCCAAGTTTCAAGCATTTCAGCTTTATCAAACTAAAAATTCAAGGCCACACCAAAGTAAAGAATTAGCATCAACATTTGCCTTCACGACAAAAGAAACAAAAGCCTACAACGAGACGACAAAATATTTTAGCAGTTTACACCATCACCTATAATGAATAGATTAAGATCGTACAAGCAATACAGCTTTATCAAACTAAAAATTCAAGGCCACACCAAAGTAGTACCAAAGTAAAGAATTAGCATCAACATTTTCCTTCATGACAAAAGAAACAAAAGCCAACACCGAGACGACAAAATATTTTAGCAGTTTACACCATAACCTATAATGAATAGATTAAGAACGTATAGAGATAAAAATTATACTAGTACTTTTCTCCTGTTTATATTTATATTTATATTTGCTAGTCAAAACCTGAGACACCATATGTAACAAGTCTAACTACAATGCATAAGGGAAAAATATTCCAGAAACCTGGTGCAATCAAATTTCATGTATCCAAAACATTAAAGAGCTATGTGGGCAACTCCCCATATGTTAATCTGTGTATTGTGAGGTCTTATAAAGATATAACAGTATCAGTCCACTTCAGTATCTATAAACCACACAAACCACAGAGATAGCTTCAACTTAAAACCAAAACCAAGTGGTTTTCAAAAAAAAAAAAAAAACTGAAACCAAGTGTTGAAGACGATGTAATTCCAAATTTCAATCTTCTGGCATAGGCTTTCCATTTTGTGCATGAGGTGATTCACACCATGTTAGATACCAGGTGATCAATTTCATTTTTTGTAAACAAATGGCAAAGGCAGCATGAGCCCAATAAGAGCCAAAACCATGACCTCGTTCACAATGAAACTTGATCAAATAGTCGAGCTTGTAAAAACCTATCATTGATATCTAGCTAGAATACCCACAAAAAAAGCAAAATTATGTATTCTTTACATGTTTACATTCCTCAGAAAGTCAGCAATAGCTCATCGAAGCCTAACAACACAAACTTCTACTATGATGAGTCAACTTCCAATGCAAGAATTGACCACTCATCTCTTCCATAGAAAGTCATAAGATGCAACAGAGAAAAGAACCTTAATAGGCCTTTTAGAATTGCTGCAAGATACTTGGCCACTTAGCCACCATGTGCTTTACAATGTTATAATTCTCCTTACTTTTGGGTTAAAGTACAATGAAATCTTGAGATTTGATGATTTTCAAAGATAGTCATAGAAAGAATGACAATTATAAGTATCCAATGAGTCTTACCCTTTTGTCGTCAGAGTTTTGTACAGTAAAGGCTTGACCACACCCAAATACCATTCATGTGGGCTCCTCTAAAAATAGAAATTCCATGGGAGGCTACTTTGTTTATCCCTCAAAGATATAATAAGGTGCAAGATAAAAAGTAGCAGGGCTCTTTCTAAAACTTAAAGTGTAACTCACTGACTATCTTACACAGTTACACCTACCCAAAGTCCCATAAATATATAAAATTTGGACGGAGTATATGTTAAGTGTCTTGTCAGTTACTCTAATATTATACTTTGATACTTTCCCTGAATCATTCCAACATTATTATCTCCATAATTTCTCAAAAAATAACCTCAACTAAAATAGTCTACTGTTACACTGTAAATACATTTATACCACAGCCAACAAATTGGATGAGGCCCCTCAAATTCATTCTTGTCACATAGATTAAAGAGCATAAACAATCAATAGATGTAGCAAGTTACAGATGACATACTCTATATGAGGAGGAAATGGATAATTGATGCCAAGCTTTTCAGCAATTGGCTCAGCTGCAAGCTGGCTGGCTGACTTCGAGCCTTCTTGCACATCTCTACTCTGTGCGTTCTCCTGATTTAAGGGTTTCAGTGTATTCTTTTCAGATTCACCTCCAACCTGCTTGTTGTCCTCTGAAGGCTTACTAGACTTCTCCACTGACAAGACTTTGCCAAGAAATCGTAACCTAACCCACCATAACAATGAAGCTCCTCATCATCAAAAATTGATACAAGAGACAATTTACTGGTTTCAACTAGAATTAATGAAAACACTGTAAAGTATGAATTCTATATTTGAGAATGAAATCTGAAATGCCTACCCATTAAGTTGGCGTTGTGCATGTGAGGCAGCAATTTCATCCCTGAAGTCCACAAATGCACAGTTTTTTAACCTGACAACATGTAGAAATTTACAATGATGTCCAAAATCCAAAGAAACAGTTCGCTAAGTGTAATAAAAACCATTAGCAGCATACCATTATACCAATACAAATTGGTTTTTCATTTCTCTAAAAGTTATATATTATAAATTCGTCTGTTATCAAGACAGTTCAATACAGCAAAGAAAGCTTTGAATAAGGTCCACGATTAGATATAACTCATATAAGCAAATAACCCAATTTCATTGCAAAGGTTTCCCTCACTTTTAACACATTATTAATTTATTACCATGAACTACATACTAGAGTAGTCTCGATTTCAAGTCTAATCTTAAGCTCATCAGAAGAACCACATTACAATCATATATCAAAAATAACAAATTTATAACGAGATTAAGAAAGAAAATTCCCAAATGCATTACTCCATCAAATCAAGACAGCCCACCAATCTATACATAAACCCACCCCGTCTCCTTATGGGTGTAAACAAGCTGATACGTTCATGTAAACCCACCAAAAAAACTACATTTGGATTTAACAACAAAAAACAAAAGGGTATTGCATTAATCAATATTAATGTAATACCCTCCCCGTCTATACATGAAACCCGCCCCGTCTCCTTCTGGGTGTAAACGAGCTGATACGTTCATGTAAACCCACTAAAAAAAACTCCATATCACAGCACCAACATTTGAATTTTAAAATCAACTAACAAAAGGGTATTACATTAATCAATATATATTACCCTTTTACCAACCAAAACGACAACAAAGCAAATTAATTTCAAACGATTCTAAACAACAATACAACTACAACAACAACAAGATCTTATTTGGGGTCGGCTAACATGAATCGTCATTTAAAATCGTCCCCGATACGAATCTAACAAGAATGAAGTTAAGAATAACAAGTAAAAGTAAGAAAAAAGACCTTGCAGAAGTACAAGGGCGAGCAGCAAGAGCACCATAATGAGAGAAAAGGCGGGAAAGAATATCAAAGGGAATAGCTTCAGGAAGATGACGAATTAATAGGGTAGAATCTGAATTTGATTCATTTGGGATTGTTTGATTGTGAAATGAAATTGGGGGTTGAGCATAATTTGGTGGGAAATTGGGGTTCATGATTATAATGGTAATGAAAAAGAAGGAAAGGAGCTGTGAGCGTGATTGCAGGAGCAGGATGCTGTTTGGGTAAAACGACGACGTTTTTTCTTGGGTCTTTGTTTCACAACCGCTTACTTCTTTTTTCTTTTTCTTTTTTTTTTCCGTGAAGTCTTCGATTAATTTCAGCTTTTCACTATTTGTCAAAATTTATTGAAATCAATAATGCAATTATCAATCTTTCAAAAAAAAAAAAAAAAAAATTCTATTATCAAAAAATTTAGAGATGTAGAGGAATCGAATAATTGTTCAAAATTAAACAATAATCATAGAAATTGAAACCCTAAAAATTGAATTGGGCTTTTTTTTTTTTGTGAGAATTTGACCAAATTCTTTCAATAATTGTAACGGATTTTCACCAAATGTCCCTGAGTTAGTTTTTTTATTCATTAAATCGCTATGAAAATTTTTAAATTCACCATATGCCCCCCGAGTTTAATAAAAATGTTACCAGTTGCCCAAATGACTAACGGACGTGTAACACCCCCGATTTACTAGCTAATAATAAACAATAAATAAATGAAAAATAGACAACATTTAAATAAAATTGCGGAAGCATACACCTAAATCGGAGGTATTACCGCCACACTTAACAACCTGTCAAGTGTTAAGGCTTACAAAAATCCCAATAATTACAACCCAATAAATCTAAGTGAGCTATTTATACAACTTTACAAATTTGTTATAACAAACTAATCGAAACACTTGAGCTCCTTTAGCTACGACCACTTGATCAACCTGCTTAGACAAACTTGACTGCTCACCATTAAGGACAAATTCCAAAATAGATCGTCGCAAGGCCACCATGAGAAAAAGACATGGCCGCAAACACAAGTAGCACAACAAAACAACACACACGTCAGCAAAAGCTGAGTAATCACCACATATCAGAATATAGAGTATAATATAATAATTAACATTACTAGATCAATTAAACAATGTAGTTCGAAACTACATTACACATTGTACTCTGAAAATTACCTTTAACAACTCAACCTCGAATAATAATACGAACTTTTACTCAATTAATTCATATAACCCATAAGTGTGGCATGCTCTTTGTTTTATACCTAGCCTTAGACATAGGTAATTCGAATAAAACCAACAAGTATAAAAACTTGAATACTCCCAATAACTAGAAAACACCTTGAACCAGACCACATACGGGTCAATTCCCACTGTAGGGGACCATAGAAAAATAAATAACAAAGATTGTACCTCATTCTTAACTCATGATTATCATCCTCTTACCAGCATGCCAAGGACTAAGGTATATCACGTCGAGCCTCAAACCAAGAACAAAATAATAATTCTCAACCTTTTGATCTCATACTTGATCAAATAATCATAAATTTGATAATAAATAGTATCTCAATAATGGCACATGTTCCAAATTAACATGACAATTCGATCACAATATCCCAACTCTTAAAAAAATACTAATAACCCAAATATAATCAAATCTCAACCCCAAAAATAATACTCTGCATTAATAACCCTAAAATCTCAATAAAACAATACTCCCTATAACAACAACATTAAAAACCCTAGAAATAAAACATAATCAATAATAAACAATAAAAGTAATACGATACTCATATCTAATCAAATCATATAATACCAATAATCAATCATATACATATACGAACTTGATCACACGAATTACAATTATAAAATTTACACATAATAATAATATAGAGTGCAAACAATAAATCATATCACACATAATAATACGAAATATCAAACATGTCCAAAATTTCGTGTGATTACCTTTCAAAAAGCCAAAACATGGTGTATTGATGGACGAAACAATATAAAATACGAAAAGATATACATTAATCCTGGGCACCGTGCCGTGCCGGGCCGCCGCGGGCCGTGCCTGGCGGGCCGCGGGCTGGTTCGTGCCGTGCCGGTCGTGCCGGCGGGCCCAGGATTTCGTGCCGTGCCGTGCCGGCCATTTTCACAGGCCAGCCCACGGCACGGCACGGCCCTCGTGCCTGGCGGGCTCGTGCCGTGCCGGCCACGTGCCGGGCTGCGGGCTGGCCTGCGCGGGCTGGTGCAGTTTTCATTTTTATTTTTTTATTTTTTTTTTTTTTTAATGACAACATTATTAATTAATAAGTTTATAATGTATATAAGTTATAAAATTATAATTATAAGTTTTATAAGGTAACTTATAAGTTTATAACTTATAAGTTATAAGTTATTAAGTTATGAATTTTATAATTATAAGTTGAATATTTATGTTTTATAATTTGTATATTCAATATTTATATTTATATATTTACTTTATACTATTACTTTAAAATTTAATGTTTATGATTTATTAGTAATTGGTATAATTTTATTTTTTTTTAATATGAATTTACAAATTGTAACAAAACGGGAAAAAAAGGCAAATTGGACTTTGGATGTGAATAATGTGTACTTTATATTATTATTACTTGAGTTGAGAAAATTGTACAATGATAACAATGATAAAAATCATACAATGATGGTATTAAACAAAAATTGGAAAATGATAAAATTGATATTTTTAAAATCGTACAATATACAATAATTGTCTATTCTTCTTCTCCTTCTTCTTGCTCGTCTTCGTCTTCGTCTTCGTCTTCGCCTTCGCCTTCAAGGTCATCGGCTAGTTTCATAGATTGGGAACTAGCCGAACCCGAACCGGAAGCGGAGGTTCCTTCTTCGTTGTCGTTGTGGTCGTAAGAACGGTCTTGTGAGCGATTTTCCGCATCCAACCAATCTTTGAAACACACGCACATTTCTAGTGTTTCGGGTTTTAGACTTGTTCTTCTATCGTCTAAAACCCTTCCGGATGCGCTGAAAGCTCGTTCGGAGGCGACGGAGGAAACTTGGATAGCAAGAATGTCTCGTGCCATTGCCGCCAAAGTTGGATGCTTCGAGCTTTGTTGTTTCCACCATGCAAGGAGGTCGAGGCTGTTTATCTCATCGTCGTCCATGCCTTTGGTGAAGTCGTAACTCAGGTACATCTGCAACTCCGAGACGTCGCTTTGCGTTCTCCTGATTGATGAATCACCTGAAAACCTTGAAATCAAGTTAGTAGCTTGTGAAAATAAATGTTTGGCCTTCTTACTTACGTTTTTAGATGGTTGGGAAGGCCCTGAGCGAGGAACGGTGCCATATTTGGCTTCATAGACTCTATATAAAGCAAAAAACTAATCCTTCACATTAGTCTTATAGTTTTCTACATCATCGTCAAGAAACATGCATTGAAAGTAAATGTCAACTAACATAAATGTGTTTTCATACTTTTGCCTAGGATCTAATATGGAAGCAAAAATATAAATCAAAGGAATCTGACTATAATATTTACGCCACTTTTTTTCCATTGCTGGAAGATACTGATCATAATCACTTTGATCGCGATGATCAGCGAAAAGTTGGGCGAGTAAGCATGCATTAGAAAGAAAGTTTTGAGCACAAGGATTGTAAACAGTAGAAAAACAATACGTCATGTTATATAATAACTGTAAAAATTGCATATATCTTTCACAGTTATTCCAATCATCATCATACAAAGCATTTTATGGAAATTTTTGGTTGTAAAATAATGTTAACGGGCCCTTGTACTCAATTGCCTTTGTTAACATGTCATAGGTGGAATTCCACCTAGTTGGGCAATCGGTTCTAATTTTTATTACCCTTATCTTTTGTTGTTTTAGAAAACTCTTCCATTCTTGGTATCTCATGTTAGAGCTATTAATAGACATAATAGCATCTCTGATTTTGCTGTAGTATGGGCCAATTGCCCGAACTCCATCATGTACACATAAGTTAAGTACATGGCAAACACATCTAGTATGAAGAGCTTCACCGTCTAATAGTACATCGGTTAAGTTTTGTTTGATAAGATTAGCTGTGTATGTCATAGAGGTTGCATTATCAAAAGTCATAGACATCATTTTATCTCGAAGGTTGTATTCGTCTATTGCTTGCATTAAATGGTGAGCAATGTTAATGCCGGTGTGTGGGTATTCCAGCATTTTGAAATGTATTATTCTTTTTTGTAACATCCATTGATCATCTACCCAATGGCAAGTCACACATAAATAGTGATATTTATAACCACTATCCCAAGAATCGGCTGTTAAAGATACTCTACAGTTAAGGTTACTCAATTCGGCTTGTAACCGGACTTTGTACTCTAGGAAATTTTTCATTGCTGCGGAACGAACGGTTTTCCTAGAGATTCTTTTATGTTGGGGTTGTAGTGCTTTGTTAATGTAGGTGTTGAATGCGTCACTTTCCGAGAAAAGAAAAGGTTGTTCGGCGTGTACTATCATTTTTCCTAGTTCATCCCTATCCCTCTCATAGTTGTATGTAAAGCCGTATGGATGGAATTGGGAAATTTTGGGCTGGGTTGGATCACTAGCTGGTTTTGCACAAGCTTTCATGTGTCTAGATAAGTGTCCCGTCCCGTTTTTGGTAACTGCCGTGAATACACTATTACATGTTTTACATTTTGCCCATTGTTCACCATCTTTACTTAGGACAAAATAACGCCATACCTCACTCCTTCGGTTTTTCAAAAGTAGCATCTCAGTTTCGGTTAACCATTCATGATGTGTGTATTGGTTAGTAGGGGGACTAGTGGGAGTGGCAGTAGAAGGGGTAGAACCGGAGGGAATTCGGGTACTTTCTTGGCTACCTTGGCTAGAACAATAGTTTTGTTGATTACCGATATAATTAGGTGGAAATTGGTATGGTGGTAGTGGAAATTGGTTTAGTGGTGGTGCTGGAAATCCCGACGTATTATATGGCTCATAGCCCGGGGGGAAGTAAATGGGGTCATTGGTTTGACTCGTAATTTGGGGGCTCGTTGTATTTGGTGGTTCCCTAGAACTACTACTACGGATAAGTCGGCCTTTCCCCCTAGACCTAGATGATGGGTTGTTCGATGCCATAATTAACAATTAATTTTTTAATAAAAAGTGGTTAACTATAATAATAATAATTAATAACAACAATTTTAACAATAAAAATATCAATAATAATAATTAATAACAACAACTATAACAATAACAATAACAACAAAAATAAATAATAACAACAATTGTAACAATAATAATAATTAATAACAACAATTATAACAACAACAATAACAATTAACAACAATAATAATTAAACAAGATTATTCTAATAATAACAATAAAACAATAATAAATTTAAGATTAGTTTAGATCTTACAACCGTGCTTCAACGCTCCACTAATTACGATTACGAACTTTTTAATTTTTTCCGATATTAGGAAAATAATTAGAGAATTTAAGAGAATAATTAGAGAATTTAAGAAAATAAGGATTATTAGAGATTTAGAGAATATAAGAGATAAGAAGAAGAGATTGTGATTTTGTGATTTGGGAATGAAATGGAGGTGAGTATTTATAGAATTTTTGGCAAAAAACTAGCCGTTTATAGCCGTTTAACTAGCCGTTTAACTAGCCGTTGGCCCGCG